TAATCCAAAATTCTAAACGTTTCTACGTGCAAGTTCTTCGCAGGCAAATATTCTGGGAACAAAAACGACAACTTCAGTGTTTGAACTACATTTTCATATAAAAATAACGGCATTCATTTGCAACATCGTATATTTATAAGCAAAATAGCACATTGTTTTCATACAAATACACGACCACGTCAATATTAATTAAACACTGCTCATTTTCAAAATCCCATCCCACGTCACACACATAAACTGTACATTACTTATTATCATTGTACTACTCACATAAAAGGAATAAAATGTTACACAATAAATTTAAGCAATCCCCAGTCATAAACCGGATAAGACCTACAATCGCTCAAAACGCAAATTGGCCATCTTGATTCTTCTTGCTTGTGGTTACAAACAGTAAACATAGCGGGCGAGTTGTGTATTTAAGAATGATGATTGTTACTATTGTCTACCTAATGGCGCTGCACACGAAGTACTACCTCGCAAACGATAAAGCTTAAAATACTTTAATTTGTTATGACATTCACATGCTTTCATGACATAAATGACGTAAAAGCTTCGCACAATGATCAGTTATTGAGTACTTGAAAAGTCTGCTTAATGGCTTATATGGAGGTATTAATAGAATAAATCCATGACAATTTTGTTTGAACCTATTGTTTACATGTTTATTATTGTCTGCAATTGTTTACACAACGCAGAATTAAAGTCATTATTGTGTTTCCATGGAAACGTATTACTGCAATAAACGTGTTGTTGTAGTATAGAATCATCCACAGGGTTCAAGAACTTTGTGTAAAGTGGTATACGTAAAAGTATAATATAAAAGGATTTTGTATTTGTGATATTACAATGAAGAAAGCAATAATGTTTACATTATTTGCATTCATTGCAAGTCTGCAACATGTTGACTCGGGATACATCCGGAATGTCTACCGCCACCCAGAAGAAACATTGTAAGTCACGTAATTTTAAAACATTCATAGTTTTTAATTTTTAAAAATATGTTATATTCATAAATAACTAACTAGATGACTTACCGAACCCGAAGGTTCATCACCGAATTAAACCAAAGCCCTCCACTGGACCCTGTCCTGGGCCAACAAAATCCAGTCTCCTTCAACTCGTATCTCCCATAGATTATCCTCCCATCTACGTCTAGGTCTCCCAGCGGTCTCTTCCCCTCAGGCTTCCCAACCAATACTTGGTGCACACCTCTTGTCCCATCCATGCCCCCCACATACCCCGCCCATCTCATTATTCACCCTGACAATCCTGGAGTAGGAGTATAAATTTTTAAGGTCGTCATTATGTAGTTTTCTCTAGACCCCGTCGTCTTCTCTCCTAATGTTATATACGTAGTTATGTTATACATAACCACCACAGGGAGTCCATAATGATTTATTTGTAATTGTAATTTGATCACTTCTCAAATGAACAAACTATTACATACTATATTTACGTTATCCCAATCGTGGATTAGAAAGATTTGTAAGGGCTTGTAACGCAAGCTGGTTATAGATAGTCAACATGGCGAACTGCGCATGTAAGACATATGAAAATTTATGTCTTAGCATAATGAGCACCTACTGAGGAACTTAAAAATGTATGCTTTAACAAGTATTAGATGGCTTATCATGAGCTATTTACAGATTGAAAACCCAAGTTTGTTTTGAGTGCATTGTTTCCATAAAGCAACATTAAAGCCATTATTGCATTTCAATGGAAACGTTTGAGCTCGGCTGACTAGCTGTGATAGCACGGAATGCGTATTTACGTTCAAGAATTTTGTATGAAGCGGTATTAGTAATATTATAAAACAAATTTTAATACGATAATTATAACGACGCTTTATGAGTACGAGAAAAGCTGTTATATATTGACTACATTTCCTGCATGTCTGCAACAAGTTGTTCAAACATGACCCATCTGGACTGCCCATCGCAGTCCAGGAGTAATATTGTAATGATTTCATACACAGCCACCGTATTAATAGGCTAATTAGGAATAGTGGAATGAGACTGTGGTAAGAAGAATGACAATTAGTCAGTACTTACGCCCTTCACTGTTTAAGAATGACTGGGAACACACCAACAAACTATCATTAATGTTGTTCTCATGAGCAACTGATATTGTATCTAGGGCTACTCTTCCAAAACTACTTACTAAAGCACCAGGTCTTTTTTTAATACATGTTAGAAAACAGTTACTGTGACTACTATATAACATTCACATAGGTGTGCATAAATGATATTCATGAGGAAGTTAAGAGGAGACCAAATTCTGGAAATGCTTGCCTCCTGATATCTAAGAACCTGAAGATTAAAACATACAAAACAATAACTCTGCCTGTTGTTTTGTATAGGTGCGAAACATGGTCTCTCACTCTGAGGGAGGAACATAGATTGCAGGTGTTTGAGAATAGGGTGTTGAGGAGGATATTTGGGCCTAGGAGAGAAGAGGATGGGGTATGGAGAAAACTGCATAATGATGAGCTTTAAAATTTGTATTCCTCCCCCAATATTGTCAGGGTCATTAAGTCAAGAAGAATGAGATGGGTGGGTCATGTGTCATGTGGATGGGGCAAGATATGTTTATCGGGTATTGGTCGGGAAGTCTGAGGGGAAGAGACCTCTGGGGAGACATAGATAGGAGGATAATATCAGGTGGGATCTATCAGAGATAGGAGTTGAAGGAGACTGGATTTTGTTGGCCCAGGACAGGGTCCAGTGGAGGGCTTTGGTTAATTCAGTGATGAACCTTCAGGTTTTGTAAGCCATCTACTTAGTTAGGTGTGCATATGTGTGTATGTATGTATTGATGTTGTACAGTTTATGGATGACAAAACACATGGGTTCATTTTATGCATCAAAGCCTTTATGCTGAAATGCTTGTTGTCATATTATTCACCCATTACTCTTTGTTGATGTAAGAACCTAAAATATCAGAAGTATTGTTCTTTAAAAATGACAAATTGTTAAATTGTTTTATTCAAATTAAGACATTTTAGTACCATCTGTATTTTAAGGGACATGAGTAATAGTACTGTTAAGTTATATAAATGTGATGGCTAACTCAGAAAACATGACTGCAGCAAAAGGCACTTTTGTTTAGTGCAACAAAATCTATAGCCATTTTAGCAAGTTACATTTAATTTGGCTAAAGAATTCAGTGGCCCCATGATATGACTAACCTGTCTGCTTATTATGCTAATACATTATAACCACCTGACATGCCTTTTTGGTAATAACTCACATAATACAGCAAAATAAATGTCAAAAATTTGGGTAACAATGTGATCTAATCATCATTGAAGAATGATTATAGTTTTATCAAATGGGAATAATAATTAAGGAACCTGTAGGTCATAAATTATTAAAATAACCTAACCAGCCTACTGACTGCTGTCCTTGGCAAAAGGATTTTCTCCCGGATTGCAACGTACTATAACAGATATGAGTATAGGAATGCTGAAAGATTATTATCTAGTATGATTGCAAGATTAAAGGAACTAAACATTTTGTGTGTTTACTGCACTTAAGTTATGTCTGTCGGTCTTTATGAATCCATTTCACATGAAGCTGAACCAATTTTTTTCAATATAAGTGAATGTAGAGGAAATGGTAAATGAAATAAGATACAGATCTGATTAAAATCTTTGTCTTCAAGATAAAAATTATTTTTGTGCTGTTTATGTTAAGAAATATTACATAGTACTGTTACATTACTTTTCCTAGTATCTGCTTCTTTTCTTACCTCCACAACATTGATTTGTACAAGCAAATAATTAAAGTTAAGATGAACAAAGGATGAAAAAAAAAAATAAACAATGCATTTGGTGAAACTGAGCTATATGTTCTCACTTATTGGACATGTGCAAAAACATTCTGAGTCAAAGGTAAAACTGTTTTTGAATTGATCATAGTTTTGCATTACCATCATATCCTTGCTTGTCCCACCCAAAGCTGTCAATAATAATGGATGACACAAGCACTAATTAAAATCATCTGATCATGTGGTTTCTGTTCACAGAATAAATAGACCTGCTCATTACAGAGGACATTGGCCAGTGTCTGAAACTTTGAATGGTGCTAAATATGACACTCTACAGCACAGTTTTGATAATGGACAAGACAAACTCTATCCTGAAGAAAGGTATTCTGAAAGGGAAACACCATTCCCAAGAAAGATTAAAGATGATACCATTATCAACAGACATGGTCGCAACTTCAGGTCTTCTCAAAATGAAGATGAGGAAGAAAACAACAGGAAAATTGAAAGTAACATTCAGTCTCGTATTGAAGCTTTGAAAGATGCTGTGAGAAAAGAGCTCAATTCTGGAAGGGAAACACCATTCCCAAGAAATATTAAAGATGATACCATTATCAACAGACATGGTCGCAACTTCAGGTCTTCTCAAAATGAAGATGAGGAAGAAAACAACAGGAAAATTGAAAGTAACATTCAGTCTCGTATTGAAGCTTTGAAAGAAACTGTAAGAAAAGAGCTTGCCAGAGGGGAAATGACAAGAAGGAACGAAAATGGACAACATAAGAGGAAAGCAGAAGAACCCCTATCATATAAGAACGATGCATATTACAGTAAGCAAGGGCCAAGAAGTTTCCAGCTTGGACAAGATGAACTCTATTCTGAAGAAAGAGATCGTGACAGGGAAAAACAATTCCCAAGAAAGGATGAGACAGAAAATAACAGGAAAATTGAAAGTCACATTCAGTCTCTCATCGAAGTTTTGAGAGAAGCTATAAGAAAAGAGCTCTATTCTGAAGAAAGAGATTCTGAAGGGGAAACACATTTCCCAAGAAAGATTAAAGATGATACCATTATCAACAGACATGGTCGCAGCTTCAGGTCTTCACAAAATGAAGACAAGGAAGAAAACAACAGGAAAATTGAAAGTAATATCCATTCTCGTATTGAAGCTTTGAAAGAAACTGTAAGAAGAGAACTGTAAGACAATGTAAGAGAAAAGCAGAAGAACCCTTACTGCATAATAATGATGCATATGACAGTAAGCAAGGGCTAAGAAATTTCCATCATGGACAGGAAGAACTCTATTCTGAAGTGGGCCATGCTCTTGGAGAGCCTTCTTGGCAGGAGGCCCACCATCTTGACTTACCTGGGTTGAATGTGGTGCAGCTCTCTTAGTTAAACTAAGAGACTGGAGAATCTGCCATTTGCTGTAACCGGTGTCCCAGGAAGTGTTCTTTAGGAAGATTTATTAAGTAGGATTTGAGGTTCTCGTGACAGTGAGTATGAAGATGGCTGTCTTCTGGGTTGTAGCACCATCTAGTCTGATAGAAGTTTACCAATGTTTCAGAGGTCCTTACCTCCATCATCAGGGCAGCAAGGACATCTGAGACGTTGGTAAACTTCTACCAGACTAGATGGTGCTACAACCAAAAGACAGCCTTGGCCCTGTGATCCAAAGTGGAAGCAGAGGGTATGTGGACGTCTTGTCCCAAAGAGCTGTCACGTCTCCTTTTTCCAGGAATGGAATATGGCCATCTGTTCAAGCCTCTCAGCCTCCATGGTTAATTGTTCATTGGTGTGGGGATGCTGCTGAAGTGCAGTAAGAACTCATCCAGTTTCTCCTGCCCATGTTTCCAGATCACCTTCACCTTCACCATGGAGGCTGAGATGGCCACATTTCCTTCCTGAATTATGATGTTCATGGGAGACCTCATGAAAGGATATAGAGTATACAGGAAACCCTCTATCTGAATGCCACATCTCATCACCATTGCCAGGTGATGATTGTGCTGTCCACCCTGGCTCACATGGCAAAGGCTATCTGTGATTCTGACATTCTTCCATTCAAACTAAAATTCCTTCATAACACCCTCTGAGACAGTGGTTACAGCAAAATTTATGGATTTTCTGGATACTCAATCCACCTAAGCGAGCTCCACCGTCGTGCAGAGAGGATCTAACTTCAGTGGCAACAGCAGGGTACTACCCAAATACAATGTCAAGGCAGTGGGCTTCCTGCCTGCCAAAAAAGCTCTCATTTTCTTTGCCAAACATGGATATAACCTGCCCCAAAAACATCAGGTGTATGCACCATTCTCTCACTAACTGTGCAGTCAACACTCTTTGACTTTTGTATGGAGACTCCCTATTGGCTTGTACCATTTCCCCTCTTGCCTGATTGTCCCACGCCCTCATTCTTCCACCAATCAGAAAATATAACAGGCTCAAACTTGGTAGCAGTCAAATTTACAACCATTCATCACTAAGCTGCCATTATAGCTCAGTTTAAGTAAGATAAGGCATGATCTGTTGTAGAGGGCCTCGACTGGCAGACTTCTTGTAAACATTGTACATATTATGTTTGCCTGACATTGTCACTTCAGGAGCAGTATAATGCAGATTCAAACAAAATAAATTTAAATTTTGTGTTACCCTATGAGAACATTTATTTCCTGGATTCAACAAGACATTCAAATTTCAAACAAAATGTAAATAGCATAAATATAAATGCTGACAAGACCAGTGTGATTCTTTTCACTGCTCAGGAATCATCATTGAAGATCATAATCTGTTCAGGATTGTATGTTCTTCATTTAACTTCTGTGGACTACAGTGCCTTGAAAACCAGTGTCATTTGCTCAGGACAAAATACAGATTTAAATAAAGTAAACGTAATTACTGAAACGTTCCCTTCTGCCCAAGCATCATGCCATGGAGGCATGTAGGAAGCATGACGGTAATGCTTCCAGTCCATCCTCAATCTCAATGTCATTGTCCTTAACACATCAGATGAAGAGTACAATGGGACAGATGAGCAGTGCATACAAAAGTGTAGTAGGAAAACCTGACAGAAGAGACACCTTGGGAAGGCCATAAATGAAGATAATATTAAAAATGGACCCTAAGGGAACAGAGGGTGGACAGGATTCAGCTGGCTGAAAGGTCCAGTGGTGGGGTCCTGTGAACACGGTAATTAACCTTTTGTTTTTTTAGAAAGTGGAGAATTTCTTAACTATAACTATAGTTTAGTATCAGCTTTTCTAGAAAGAAACCTATAACATCAAATCTGTTAATTACTGAAACATCTAGATTTTGGTGATGGAAAAAGTCACCAGGTAATGTGATTACTGCATATTCACAAATGTGTTACTCTTTTAACAATCAGGTGACAATATTACTTACGTTCATAAGTGATTTAAAAATAAGTGACTAATACTTGAAATACACATCCAGAATATAATATATTCTGAACACTATTACTATTAACTGCGAGTCATATTTCCATATAACCACATCTGTAACACAATATTAAAATTTCAGGCACAGCGTGCTTACTCTTCAGATATGGAGGGTGTTACACTTGCATTCATTACTTCAACACAAATGTCTAACAGGATAACTAATGTGTTCAATAATCAAATGATGACAATAACCTGCACATCCCAAAATGCCGTCAACAACCATCTTCCAGTGTTCAGTAGTCAACGGTGATTAAAAATGGGTTCATCACTTTACTGCATCATCAAATGAGTGAAAATGCACCACATCTCACCCAAAAGGGGGAGGGGGGAATCAATAGCATTCCTCTCATGAAGGTCCTTGACAATGGAGAAAAAATTAATACTGATCACTACTGCACAACACTGCAGTACATGAAGGGCACTATCTGGATGAAACACCTGTCTCACTAACAGAAAATGTTCCTCCATAACTATACAGACAGCGATACAGCCAGTGTAGTGACACAGTATTTCTTAGTCAGTTTCTCTGTGATTACACATCTTGCCCATCCAACATACAGCCTTGACCTTATGAAAGTGAATATTACTTCATCAGACTACTGAAAAAGGCCTTCAAATGAAAATACTTTTGGTACAATGATGGTGAAAAGCCAAGGTGTGCCTAATCATGCAAACACCAATCCTTGATTTCCTATCGGCAGGAATGAAATAGTATGTCAATGAGACAAATGTCTCAATCTATCTGCCTATTATGTGGAAAATAAAGAGTTTGTCTATTAAAAGTGTTGTGCTGGACATCTATGTGGTAGTAGCACTTCAGAGTGAAAAACGTTCCATTTCAAACTTCAAAAATAATTTTCTGTTAAAATCTTTAAATTAAGATAAGATACAAATATGTTCCACATAAATTTACCTACCAGTCCAATACTATTCAACACCATGATTACACTCCTGAAATAGTAAGTGGTAACTTGTACACAATTTTTGTTTTGGGAGCGTTGGTGAACTTTCCTAGATACTACATATGATCTAAATGGTACAGTAGGGCCCCGCTTTTCAATTGCATGCATATGCCCTACGCGCTCAACAGCTGAGTCAGAGAACTGCGTCTGGCGGCATTTTCTCTTCGCTGATTCAGTCTGTTTAAAGCTACTACTGATATTCATTTTACTTTCATATCGTTTTCTTAGGCCTAGCGCCATTGTGCACTTACTAATGATAGCGTAAACATCTTATTAGGCTTTGATATGCATTTGCAATTGAAAAAAGGCAAATATCTGCTTTTCGGCGGGGGTCTGGTCCCTAACCTGCCGTATATGCGGTGCCCTACTGTAATCAATGTCACAACGTTTTGTCATGTTAAGCGATATAACCACAAAGCTTAATGTAGTACATATAATGTGTACTGGGGGTTTAGGAAGTTTTAATACAGACCAGACAGGCAGCAAATGGGATGTGAAAGACCTGACTGGCAGAACAAGAGAAGGCTGCTATCCAAGCGGCAGCAAACACAAAACTGAGGGAAAAACTTTTTATGGGCTGCTGATAAGGATATGAGGTGATGAAAGCACTGGAAAAGGAGGTAATAAAAACACATTTACCCTGAAAATGGCAAATGCAATGTTTGCCAAAATGGAAAATCTACAACATTCAACACCAAAATTATACACATAATTCCAGCTGCAAAAACTTCTGAATAATTACAAATAATGGATCGAACTGAAGTGTACGTCGATGAATATACACATGTTACAAATCTGGAGAAGTTAGACTAACAGGGTTAGAAATTATACTCAATATTTACCAGAAAAATCATTTAATGAAAATGGTATCGTAATGGTCTGTGTGGATGAAAGGTAAATATGTTCCATTATGAGCAGTACACTTAACAATACTGTACAAAGTTAGAACAATATCAGACTGTACAAATCATTAAGGAGGAAGATAATGTTACTGCAGTAAAATATACTGAGAAGTACTGCGCTGATTTCTACTAACTATACAGCCCAAGCAGTCACAAAGAAACAAGAACTGTTAGTAGCTAACAAAATTTGTACTCTACCATGTAATGACTATAAAAAGATCTAGTAAAAAGTATCAAATATAATGAAATTATGAAATTACTTTAAATTGTAAAGAACAAGAAATAATGTCAACGAGATGGTTTTAATGTCTCATTAACGATTTGGTGCTTACAAGGTATAAGTTCATTTTGCTGGTCATGCCACTTACTTGTGGAAAAATATTATCTATTTGTGACTAGTGCTTAGGCCCTCCAAGTTTTGGACTGAAAGAGTTGCATTAAATATAACTCTTACCAGGTTAGTGACCAAATTATTTAACTTCCAAATTACTGATACATCACAATGCAGCATCAACATATTGAAGCAATATGATACTGTATATTAAATTTAAAACTGATATGCAATAGAGTAGCCTTGTTCTTGTAAGTTTAATTCAGTATCCATTCTACAGAATTCCATAAGCATCTAAATACCAATGTTGGTTTACTGTCTCTCATCATCACACACATTACTTGATGTGGAAATTTATAACAAATTTATGTTACAAAAACAAGGTTAGTCTTGAAGCAATTTATGTTGGAACAATTTTAAACAATGATTCATAACTATTGACATAAAGAAGGCATTCAAGAAAACCACATACTGTGTTTCAGTATCTAAAACAATTAACATTCTCAAGGAAATTGAAATGTGTAAGTACAGGATATAAGGATATATGCATTGTTGTGCTAAGTTTCTGGCTGATCTATGTAACTATTTAAAAACATAAAAGAGTGGAAAGAACTCTTCAAATGTATCATTCCAGGTAATATTATTTTAAAAACGTTTGTACTCACTCACACATTGTACGAAACATAAAAAATTGTCATTATGCACAATATCTAACAATACAATCTAAATTTTATAATTCTTATCAACCAAACGAGTAGTGAACGTGACGATGACGACTGTGAAGGTTCAGACAGTGGTATTGATGCAAGCCTTCAAAGAAAATAATTCCTGTCTGGCTGTATTGTATATGGACCCTTATGGTTTGCACAAGTCCTTTTACAAAATTAGATTCAAATTTAAGACTAACAACAATGGCTTCAATAAAGCATGCTATGTGACATTTCCAATTAAATTCACAAGGTCTATAATATTTATATATATATATATAGTTCTGTAAAAATTGTACAACTAAATATTTGTTTACCTAATATGTACAATAAGAATGGGTGTCTTTTCACCTTTAATAACAACAGCTAGGAGTAACACTTTAATGTACCCACAATCATGCATGAAAAACACTCACTCTGTGTGAAAAAGAAACAATTTCTCTTTAAAGCATTTGAACCATTTACTAACACATACTTCCCACAAAGTACCATGTTGGTAAAGACTGACTGAAGAAAAAATAGTCTAATTAACAGTTGATAATGCCAGATTATCAAACATTATTGTAACAATTGAGATCTGATGTTCTTTATACAGGCTGAATGTCCAAAACACTTTTAGTATACTGTATGCCCTCTTTACATAAAGTGATGTCGACAAAACCTTAAAGTCATTAGATCAACTAGCTCCAATTTAATTAAATCAGAGTAGATTAACTGAGTATGGCATGTAGCATACATGGGAGAGATAAGAAATGCACACGTGAACAGATTTTAGTTGGTAAACCTGAAGGGAAGGGACCACCTGTGAAATGAAAATGCAGATACAAGGATAATTAATAGATCATGAAGACATGAGGTGTAATGAAACACATTCATCTGGATCAGGCTAGAAACCAGTGGTGGGCTCTTGTTAACATATTAATAAACCTTTGGGTTCCACAAAACGCAGGGAATTTACTGGCTAGTTAAGTGGCTATCAGCGTCTCAACAAGGAATCTGCTCAATGGATTAAGATCATGAAGGTAACATTATAAGACTGAAAGTCAGAAAAAAAATTACTAATTTGCTATTTGATACTGTATTTTATATTACAGTTGGTAAATAGCCTCATAACATTGGTTCAGTGTTAACATGTAATAAATATCTCACTGATAAACATTTTTTTCACAAAAAAAATTCTTCAATAAAGGCAAGATGACAAAATGATGGAACCACACTGACCACGGAAAAGATAAAGAAATAAATATATATATTGACTCAAGAAAATGTGATAGAAGGTCTCTTAGGCAGGAACAGTCTAGATGAATGTCCTAAAAACACAACAGAAAACAGACACAACATTCATTTTGAATCTCAATTCTTCCTTGGTCAGGCATTTCTTGTATTGGTCTCATAAGAATATACAAAAAATGTTCCTGAGAAAAACAATTAACAACAACTGTTATCTCTTGTGTGTGGATATTCCGCATTAGAAATATTTCAATTTGACAGTAACACACCAAATAACCTTAAGAGAGAGAGAGTACTGCTACGGTGCGTACATGTATTTTAATATGTACTTGAGTGAAGTTTTGTCAACATCATTTAAAAAAAGGGAACATGAGCAAACATAAATATTTTCAGTAAGGTTTTGCTGAAGTACACAATAAATAAGATGCTTGTAATGACATAAACGTAAGAAAGCGATAAAACAAAACAGAAATACAAATACAGAGAGCAACAGCACTGCTTTCATTAATCTATCAATTTAAGCAGATATTTGTATAACATAATTTATAAAGAAACATTAGATCAATTTAGTTCTTTTGAACCAGCCACAGTAGTCATCCTGGACAACTAATGGCACTGGAAACTGGTTGTGAGGGAAGTCTACAGACAAAACATCTGCTCCTCAAAAATAATAATAATTACTTGTCAGAGAAAAAATTATTTTATAAGTAATTCAGATTAACATGATTTATATTATCCTGCATAATATTAAAGTTTTAAAAAATTTAACACACATCTAATAAAATATGACCAAATACAACACATATAAAACTCAACTTGAAAACAACATAACAAAAATTTGAGGGGGGGGGGGAGAAGTGGCAATGACTACTGATGCAATATGCGACTATTAATGTGAAAATCCCTGAACATCTTAAGGAGAGTCAAACCTGTAACAGCATCCCTCCAGAAAATAAAATGTTAAAGCCAATGACTCAAATAAATGTAAAACCAGATTCACACATGAATGATCCATGTAATAGCAACACATTTTAAAACTTTTAATTTTGCTACTACAGTTAAAATTAAAACTCTCTCATACCTGCAGAAATTCCAGCATATAAAAAAAGATAAAATCTTGTATTTCATATTTTTAAAATTTTCATGCTTCTGGTATGAATATGTACATATATATGTACACACACTTCTCTAATAACTTATAAAAAACATTTAGAATTCTCAGCTATATTTATAAATTTGAAAATCTTAAATGTTGCTGTTTTATTCACATTTATCGCTCACAGGCAACAGAGTCTATTTTTATGCAATATACTTTATACAATACTTTTAAAGTAGTTAAATTTGTGCGTTCTTTTGTATGTATGTGACTACAATCTATTGCACATTACTTTCAGGGCATCTATTAAGAGTTTTTGCCAATCACAAAACATATACAAAATCCCTCAAAACAGTAAATGATTTGAACTCCTCTCAAGTGTACAGAAATAAGCATTGTAGATAACCAGGAGGGGGGAGGGGGTCCTCACTTCACACCACATGTTCTATTTAGTATATATTATATATGTTTACTAATATTTACTTTCAACCCAATAACAAAGATCTTGTAATAAATACTGTGCATGCTTAAACTCTTTAGACACAAAGTATTAAGTACTGATGGATCAACCATCTTCATATATTATTAATTTCTCTTTCTTAGCAATAATAATTAACTACTTACCCCTCCCCCTCACTCTTTTATCATGGCAGTGCACTAGAATGTCAGGGGATCAGAATATTGTATTAGGTGGTGTTATATAAGACACAAAGTAATAGTGATTTTTCAACAATAAAAGTAAGAAAGTATTACCAGAATTCAATTACCATATTTAGGAAGTGACTGTACATATTACTACAATCACTCTTCATTCAAATTCCTCTAAATCCACTGACATAATCCACGATCCATCTGACAGGCACCAATTATGTCTCCTCTAAGTCAACCGTAAAAGAAATACATGAAACTTAAATATGGGACTGAGTAAGCAAAGAACTAGGATTTGCAAACTTTTCTACTCACAGCAGTAAATTTGTTAACCATATATACAATTTTGAATGTGTTATTTGCCACATTGTACAAAATATCAAAATTGTTAAGTTCCTATGCTTTACAGAGTTGGCACAATTTGTGAGATACATGGTGAATATGCTTCATGTGTGTACTCAGAACAATATCCTACATTAACTTTTAATTCAATGTAATGAAGTAAAAAAGCAATACTGCTTGGTGCAGCTGATCTAAGAGTTACAACACACTGACTTCATGGACTAGCCATGTACTATTTTCATTCACTTTAAAAACCTCAATTTGTTCATATATTTTAAGATACAGTATTACTGCATGGCTCTCAAATGTCAGTTCCAACAACAAGTTTGATAAAAAATGAAACAAACTGCAACCAGAAATCAGAATTTAAGAATACAATTAAGATTGCACTCAATCCATTTACAGTACTGCTCAAGAAACAAATTCAAGACTAAACAATGTATGTGTGACAAAATACTACAAAAACTTTATATTAAATTAGCATGTGGTCATTGAAATAAATGATATATAACTTTTTCCCCTCCCTGTGCAAATAATGAACTAATCCTTACACTACCACATACCAGAACACCAAAATTATATAAATAACAAACATTTTGAGTACCTTCAAAGAAGGTATACAGATTACATTCCTTTTTCAGTGATGATAAATTAAACCTTCAGTCTCAAAAAGATTTCCAAAATATATCCTGTTACTTTTGTGAACTCCTATGCTGCGACATTGAATTTCAGATGAATATCCACACATCATCATAAACTGCACTGACTTTAGTCTACATCAAAGAAAAATACTCTACTCCTTTAGCTGCAACATTCCACTTTAACCTCTGAGCTATAAAAACATATTCTTTTGGTTGGCATAATACTGCCATAGAGTATGTAGAGTTTTAACACTTCAGCATTTCTCAATTTTAAGCAGCTATATGTAAAAAATTATGTTATAAATATAACACTGTTTTTTGATTGGTCTGTTTGTAATTATTCATATAGCATGACAATCAAAATAATCTTAACATTATGTTCTTCTAGCAAAGTGAAAAATACTGCACAGCACAAGGGTTAAATGCAATTTTGGACCCGTGAGCTCTAAATGTGACTGCCTTGCTTGGCTATGCAATGTGCCCACTGTATAATGTTCCATTCATCTGAACAGTACCTCAACACTGACAGAGGAATCCATAAAATGTCACACTGAAATCTATGGATTTATGGTTTATTCAATGACAACTGTCAGTAGCTCAGATCATACATCATCAAATAATGAGATGATAAGTGAATTGGAAAGAATGTGGAAGGAAGCAAGTCATGGCCTAATTCAAGGTACTATCCTGGTGTTCACCAAGGACTGAGAAAAACAACAAAAGAACCTCAGTCAGGATAGCCAATCTCTTGGCTGAAATTTAAATCCAGGACCCCCAGGAGTGACAACCACTTAGGCATAATGTTCAGTAAGGTCTATGGAAGAAAATAATGTGGCATCATCATGCTACTGATACCAAGTGGCTAAAGATATGGCAGACAAAAAGCAGATAAAAGACACCATTTAAACATAACCTTAAAATCTACTATGTTACTCACAAAGCATCACAGCATTGCACCTCCTAATATCCCTTTCACTCTTCTAGTATCTAACAAGGGGAGAATTAATAACACCTGATACTTTGCCTGAATAAAAAATTGTTTCCAAAAGACAAGGAAAGAAGCAATAAAAACTACTATGGTTCAGTAACGAATTGCAAGTTAGTTTATCATTGTATAAAATACAATGCTGCCATTTTTATATTATTCAAACTTTGTAACAGGCTACATAATATAAAAATACTTAATACATTTTCTGAATGCAATGGGTGAAATAAATGCATAATGAAGAAACTGTGCCCATCCATCTATTTTCATATTTATCTCCAACACTGGCCTACAAATGTCAACAAATTTCATATAGAAGTCTACACGTACCTACACTTGAAGTTGTCACACAAATTTAATTATGATTTGCAATTAGTTCATAATAATCACCACTTTACATAAAGCAGAAATCAAACTTTAATAAGACCCTAAAAAAATTCTGATCATACAAATGCTGCATGTGACATAAAATATAAATGTTATTAAGGTCTATAATTTAAATTTGGCATATTTTCCATATGGTGCATATTTTTTCAAAAGGCAAGGAAATCAGTTTATGTCTCTCTGCATATTTAATCAACTTTGTCAATAACAGATTTGGACAGAAGCAATAAATGAACATCAAGATGAATGAGGGATGCAAACCTGTGAAGAACTGATTTTCAAAATTATGTACTCCTGACTGGAATACATCTTCCTACTCTCTATTCCTCCAAAACATAATTGAATTGTATGAGTTAAGTAACACATCAGTGATAATGAGTAATAGCAGCTGATCAAATGTATTCATTTCAAAGTACCTAGTTTCAACATGAAGCTTAAAAAATGTCCACTTTCATTCAATGTGTACACAGATTAATATTCACATTAAAATGTTTAATCTGTCATTCATGGCAAGAAAATATATGGAATCTAGTGACCAACACTGTAAAGATAATACACAAAACTCAATGACAGAGTTAGGGCAAAATGAATAGTCAGCCTGTGAATGAAAATTAAACTCAGACATCGGTATAATTATCTGTTATACCCTATCAGAATTTTTTATAACAAAGAAAACAGAGTTCAAGCATAATATAACTTAAAAAAATATGTTTTTACATATTATGTGCTAAAGAAACTACACAAAATACAAAATTTTGAGTCATCTGGACTTACATGCTTAATGTACTCCACAGTCACAGAAGGGAGATAAAAGATAACTATATAAAAACCAAGTACTGTGCAAAACTTAGCACATCTAACAATACTGCTTATAATGGGACATCAATGTCTTACAAAAGTAAATTTTCAATGTGCCTCTAAAAAGAATGGTATTTACGTGCCAAGCAGACAATGAAGTCAGAAATTATACACAAAGAAATCAGTCTACTGACATATCACTACAATTTATTTCTCTAAAAAGCAAAGATAAAATTCAAAGTCTTCCTAGGTAATAAGATGTGAGAAGTCTGAAGTTACAATGCTACATTTCAGACTGTCCTGATGGTCAGACAGTCTCTGAAATGTTTGATTGTAACTCCATACTTACATAGCTGATTACCCAATAAGACTTCATTGTATTCCATTGCATCATAAGGGAAAACTGTCCCTGTGCCTAACACAACACTGTCTCAATGTATGGTGGGCATGGACATAAAGCTCCATGCATTCTAGGAGTTTGTAAATGGTCAGCTTCATACTTTGGCCAATTTTACCCCACAGAAGGAGCTTCTGGTACCCAGTGAATAGGAAGGACACTGCCTGCAACATAGACTAGGTGAGCATGTGGTGACTAAAAGTTCTTGCTTTTGCCAGAAATTAAATTTTGGCAGTATAGCCCACTGTTAATCATTTTACTGTCCTGCTTACAAAGATCTCCATATTAATCAATTATTTGGCACTCATCTATTGTCTGTCACTGCTACCAGTTTCCCATTCATCCAATTTTATTTCTCTTCCCAATTAGAGAATCCATTCTATTATTGCATGCACACAGCAGTCACAACTTAGAACTCACACATAACTGTTAGTGTAGAATCTTTTGTGAGGTTATGTGTTTCACTTAATGTTAGTCACAAAACAGTCATGAATATATTTTAAGCAAACTGACTGCAATTTGTTTCATTTCTACAAACCTGTTACATCTAAAGTGTATGAAATAAAATATAATGGTTTATTTCAAACCACTTTCAACTCTGAGCACTTTGCAAAATCAAATGTCTGTTAAACTAAGAACATTCTCAGTGACTACTTTCTCAATGCAGAAATCACATTTATAGGGCAAAACAAGATACCACAACTCTAAGCAAATTATTGTCTCATTTTTGTTTAAATTTCAGTAGCAGAATGTATAAGTAATTCAAAACTGAAACACATTTTTCTATAACAAATACTTAAAAGACATTCCTCTAGAATAGTATCTATTCCAGTGGTTCACAGTTTACGTATCTCTCAATAATTTCATGACATTAAGGTACTTTCTGGTGACAGACTTTGATTTTCTTTACCTTCTCTTAGCTTCTGAAGCAATATGCTGTATGGTCATTATAAACTTAAAATGATGTGCCCCTACATCAAGCAAACTGATTACACGTTGGCACACTCAGAACACTCAATCTGCAACAGCAGATGTCTGTACAGTAGGAACATAAATCAGCAACCCAATCTGCATTCCTTATATTAGAATAAACTTATTTAAACACACCTTGTGATTTTAAATTGGAGAAAATATTCCTCGTGGTGTATATACACAGACAAGTTAAAACAAACTCCAACAAGTTATTTATAATTCTGTTTTTTTAACAAAAGACAGACTTCTTGGAAAAACATGTTTTACACAGAAATTACACAAAAATAAGTGCCTTTAAAATATTGTCATATGGCATTGCAGACAAATTGGTGATGGTTCAAGGAAAGGAATGTTAATATCAAAAAGTGGAGGAAATTTTTTTCTATCTCCATGCTGTAGTTTCCAAAATACATGATGAGTGGCTCTTCACCTCGAAGGGTCCATAACTCTAGGCATGGCAGCGTGTGCTTGTCTAGTGCATCCGGACTTGCAGCAACAAACACTATGAATGGCACACAATGGATGTGGTCACTCACCTTTGGACACAAGACACTCTCCTTGGCTTGGTTGGTCTGGTCATGGGGGAAACCTCAACTTTGTTCGGCACTGAGGCCGTCATGCTGCTACTACAACTTGTCTAAACGGAAATTATCTTCTGTTGCAGGGTCTGTTATAACATTCATTTCTGGGTCTGTTAACATTTGCAGACCATCAAAGTCAATGGGCACAAGACCTTCCCTCAGCATTTCATCTGATGGAAGCAGATCTGTGTCAAATGATCCTGACATAGCCGAACCCAAGTCTTTGACAAATTCTTGCCGAGAGAGATCATCCCCTGTGCTTGAAGAGAAATCTGTAATTACAAAGCAGAACATCAATGTGGATCCTGTTTCAGGGTGAAAACACCATGTAAATGTATGAGTTATGAAGTTCATATAACAGTGAAAGTACTCATTATGGTTTTCTGGGTTATGAAGCCTTGAAGGTGGTTATCAACATTCTGGTGAAATACACTGTCTCCATTATCATAACCTAAAGACCACATTAATTTGCAGCTGTAGGCATCCATTATTTCAGAGATTATATTTCCACCTGTACCTACACCTACACGGTGCCATCACCCTGAAAACGGATACACAGTAGCACTGAATCACCATGAAAACCTGAAATACTGATCCATACTAGGACTGAACTTGCATAAAAGCCTGAAATTTTGCAGAGCATAATGTTATCATTTTACATCAAAAACGCCATACTACAAATTACAAATGAAGACAACAAGAAATTGTGGTAAAAACTAAGATTCACATTATTTAATGAAAATGTATTTTCTCACGATGTCACAGTGGTTATAATTTTTAACATTTAGCAAGAATAGTAAATACAAACTCTGAGAGGCATTATAAAGACAGACTTCACTTACACATGATGTCAAGGCAGGGCAGTAGCAGGGAGTCAGACAATGCACTTGACACACAACACTTAACAGATAAAAGGTAAAATTGTCTTGGTTCTTTTAACACGTCTAAACATAGCAGTAAGGATTAGAAATGCAGACTTTATTTGTATGTTACACTGAGGCAGAGAGGACACCAGTTCTCAGAAACCCTGCTGTCATTTTACTGCTCCATGACTCTGATAAGGCTGAGAACTGTCATGTTATGACATCAACTGCAGCTGTAAGGTATTAATAAATTTACTTCATATCCATACTAGATTTAACTTTCCTCATTTATATTTACCAGCAAGTATACCTGTCAGAATTATGTCTGGAATACTGGAAGGAGTGTTTGGAGTCTGCGGTGTGGTTTGCTGCGTGCTGCTCCCACTGGGATTGATGCTCACTGGACGGTTGTACTGCAGCTGTGACGGAGACTGGCTGTAGAAGCCTTGGTCTGTTGATAACTCCTGCGTTCCAATTTGGGTCAACCCATCCTCTGGACTGCCATGACTAACTGCCTGTAAGGGATTTACGCAGTACCTAGTAAAGTTTTAGTTTTAAAAATTCTCAAAATAACAAAGCACAATCAGAAAATAATACCAGCCATTACAGACAGAAATAAAAGTTGAATCTCATCATTTAAAATCAATATGGCATGCTATACAACAGACTGTAAACAAATTATATAATTTCAGGTCTCCATGATTAAAATGTGTTGCAGTCTTCTAGGCTGCAAAACAAGTTAGGAAATGTACACACAACATAACAATTCTGGTGCATTCACTCTAATAGTGCCATCAAGTCTTTCAGTTTGTGAATGCTAATGTGTGCTCTCTTAGAAACAGGCAAGGCAGATATGCAAAGATCATGAATATAAAATCTGAACAAACTCAATCTGATGGTTCTGAATGAAATGACCAATAGTTTACATTTAAAAAAGAAACATGAATATTAGCTTCAACAAGCCCACATAGAGGAGATACCTTCTTACCTGAAGATGAATATACAGCATCTCCAAAACACAGTATATTCCAGAAATGTTTAATTTTTGTATTGATATAATTTTAGTGAACACACTACAAAAAAAAAACAGGTCTAAACAAAACATAATAATGAAAGTCTGTTCACTTTTTCAACTTCAGAATTAAAATACCATCTGAACAATACCATCATTCATTACACTCCAATCAGATAAACTACATAATATCAAAATTCTGTCATCATCATTCTGCTTTTTAAAAAAACGCGGTATAAATCATGTCACTGCAATAATTTCAAATCAGTATTTTCACCCACTACAATTTTATAACTGTGATGAACTTCACTGTTCTCTCCATAAATTTTCTAAACAAAGATGAAAAATTGTCACTGAAATTTTGATGAGATGACTCTCACAAACTTTTATCTCAATCTGCTGATAGCTCTATACAAAAAGTTTCAAGTGTGAAATTTAATTATGGTGATACTCTTTTTCGCTGACCAAAGAATATAGTGATTAACCAAACAGTATATAATCATTCAAGCTTACAAATCTACACAGAACAGCACATCTACTATCCTCACTTACTTGTGAATAGTGCGTTGCATTACTTTGCGAACCAATGTAATTGATGCTAGTAGACACAGGATTGTCCATCTGTAATAAATAACATTTCACAGTTCACAAAATTTTGCAATTGGGGTATCTATTAAATGTAATACATGAAACACGAATTTAAAGATATTAAAATATGGTGTTAATTACATGTAACAAACATATTTGCTACCACAATCAGTGTCTGAACACAGTTTCTCGTCTGTTTGCTTCAGCATCTAATAAAACTGTGCAAAGACACTTTGTTCAAAGTTTATTATGTTCATCCTCACGCCATGACATAATTTACCTTTCTCTCAGTACATTAAACTTCTAAAGATATAATAATAAAATACACGATATAAGCTTAAAATACTATCATATTAAACAGAAATCTTCACACAACTGGAGCGATGCTGTGGTGTTTTTTCATTCATGGATTGCAGCGAACATGTTGAGGAAATACTGTCATTAATTCTTAAATTCTAAAATTAACAGTGACTGAAAAGTTATGCAATTCACACTTTTGACCTAATATTCCCACAGAAATATACAAGTGTATGGGGCAATTCTGGTGTATTCCAATGTGGGGTGCAGTGGGGTAATGATCTTCATTTACCAAGTATGATGTCAGCAGCAAGTTAGCCTCTGAGTTATTTGCAAGATCAATGTGTGCTCACTGTTTTAATTTATCACTTTATTTTGTCATTAAAACTAGCTGTATCATGATGCTATCAACACAGTTAATTATAATACTTTCTCCTGCACAAAGTGTCAGTAATTTAATACTTTGCACAATTCAAAGAACATTAAATTCTGCTACATTAGAAAGGGTTAAGAATGTGTATTAAACAAATAGAAACAAGCAAGCATTTTCAGAGAGCATGATTAATAACAAATTAATATTTTAATTTTACTGGATATGGAGTACAGAAAGTCTGGAATAAAATGTGTGCCACAAAGAAACAGTCACTTGCAAGAACTTTTATAAATGTGTATGCAATGTAAACAAAATTGATCAGCGTCAAGATGAAATCCAGTGGCGAGCTCTTGCAAACACAAAAACAAATCTTCGGGAAAGAAAAGAAAAAGCAGAAATTTCTTGACCAGCTAAGTGACTAATAGTTACTTGTGAAAGACTCTGGTTTATTAAGTCAGTGCATTGCAGAGTTATGGGATATGTTGGTAACATTATTCCATTTACACAGAATTAAATACAGGCATGAAAATTTAACTCAATTCATTTATTTAATTGTTTGCCAACAGCAAGAAGCCAATAACAGGCAAACACTGATAATACATACAATAATAATAAAATAATAATGAAAAATACTGCAAATGATAATTTGATGTAAACACATCGCATAATACAAGGACAGGTGGTATGTTAATATAATGAAAGTGTAGGAAAATGTACATGTTGGGGTCCAACTTATGACAATTTCCTAAAGGGAAATGCATAATTCCAATATTTGTAACACTAAAATCCATGCTTCCTGCCACAAACACAGAGAAACAAATTAGGGCTAATTTGCACTAGAACAATTTCATCATACCAGCAACTACCATGCTGTATCTTGCCTGCAAATCTTAGTATGCTATACTTAATGCGTGATTTAATTCAGAAGGGTATGAAAGCTAAAGATGTAGGATTTGAGGTTTTCATGGCAGTGAGTCTGAAGATTGCTGTCTTCTGGTTTATTGCGCCGTGTAGTCTGGTAGATGTCCACCAACGTTTCAGAGGTCATGCTGCCTCCGTCATCAGAGCTATGAATGAGCCAATCGAGTGGTAAGGGCTAAGTTTACAGGGACCAGACAGTAAATGGAGTTGCCTCATCCTAACCAATGGGAACCGGTGTCAAATCAGAAGTGGGTGTGGGGACCAGTAGGAGTGTGTGGGCATGTCATAGGGTGTGTGAGAGATAGAGAGAAAGGAGAGAGAGAGAGAGATAGGTCCAAGAAACAATTTACAACATACTGAATACACACTACAAAGAGATATATGTATACAGTATCCTGATATATACATACACACACACAAAGATTAAATATGTGAAAATCACAAAATTATGTTACAGATAATGTTCGTGGCAATGGGTGATCCTGTAAAAAGAACATAAAACTGAAAAACTGGATCTTAATAAGTGATGCTTTACTAAGACAGACAAAATGTAGAAAAAGTACTTTAGACACAAAATAATGTTTGTACTTCAACTTTGTTGAGAACAAAATATTGTTATATATAAAAAAAGATCAAACATGTAAATCTACCAGTTATGTAAAAAAGTAAAGTAAGTAAAACAAAAATCTATTACTTAAGCTCTACTGTATTTGTCCTCAAGAAGGAATATACATAAAAACTTTTATTTACAGAAAATACACCTGCATGAAATTCATATTCATTTGTGCCAATGTAGCAGTAAAGAATACAAATCATTTGACAAGTAATATCAAAATATAACTTCCATAAGTGTAACAAAACTGCGTTATAAGATAAGGTTTTCACGGCAGTGAACATTTGGAACCAATTTTTCGGATTATGAGACTGTAGTCTTACAGGCAGTTACCTTGAAGATGGAGATGACAGGTTCCTCTGAAATACTTGTGATCACCTAAAGACTAGATGGTATCATAACCCCAGAAGCTCACAACCATCCCTACCCCCATACAAAATATTAAGGTTCATTACCATAAAAATCTTCATCAGACTTTTCATCAAATCCAGTCTGCTCCTTTACATACAGCTCCTTCAGCATAATTTTAATATTATCCTCCCATCTATGCCTTTGTCTCCCAACTGTTCTCTTCAAGTGTTTTATTAAAGTTTTCAGACTAAAGTTTTGTATGCAGTTCTCATTTTTCAATGCATGTCACGTCCTGTACAATGGATCCTCCTTTATATAATCACCCTAGTTACTATAATATAAAAGACAGGGTATGAATTATGAAACTGCTCATTACGTGATAGCTACGTGATACCACATTCATCTCTCGGTGCAAAATATGTGCAGTAGGACTGACTGTCGAACTGATGCCCCAAGCCATATTTACCCTGACAACTATGAAATACACTTGGATCCACAGAGAGTAAACGAGCTGTAATGTTAAATGTTTCATTGCACACAATTATAAAGCCTTTATATATTTACATATGTTGAAAGGGGAATGCAATATATAGCACTATTACTAGCAGTATAGTGACTAGGTTATGGGCTGGGCAACCAGGGTGCAATCTGTAAAAGTGGTGTTTTGGACTTCGTCCAACATCTATTTTTCAATATAATAACATTTTGGAATCTGGACCAGGGTTCAGTTTTCAGTAGGGAGGATTTTTCTCCTCACCACAATGTCCAGACTAATTTTAATATTATCCTCCCATCTATGCCTTTGTCTCCCAACTGTTCTCTTCAAGTGTTTTATTAAAGTTTTCAGACTAAAGTTTTGTATGCAGTTCTCATTTTTCAATGCATGTCACGTCCTGTACAATGGATCCTCCTTTATATAATCACCCTAGTTACTATAATATAAAAGACAGGGTATGAATTATGAAACTGCTCATTACGTGATAGCTACGTGATACCACATTCATCTCTCGGTGCAAAATATGTGCAGTAGGACTGACTGTCGAACTGATGCCCCAAGCCATATTTACCCTGACAACTATGAAATACACTTGGATCCACAGAGAGTAAACGAGCTGTAATGTTAAATGTTTCATTGCACACAATTATAAAGCCTTTATATATTTACATATGTTGAAAGGGGAATGCAATATATAGCACTATTACTAGCAGTATAGTGACTAGGTTATGGGCTGGGCAACCAGGGTGCAATCTGTAAAAGTGGTGTTTTGGACTTCGTCCAACATCTATTTTTCAATATAATAACATTTTGGAATCTGGACCAGGGTTCAGTTTTCAGTAGGGAGGATTTTTCTCCTCACCACAATGTCCAGACCAGCTCTGGGATCCACCCGGCCTCCTATCCAATGGGTACTGGGTTCTTTCATCTGGGGTACAGTGGCTAGGACATGAAGCTAACCACTTTTATTCATCTAGTACAGAGATTATGAATGCTTAGAGTTATAACTCCAGTTCCTCATACATCTGCATGCTGTGGTGCTTAGTTTATCACCAGGAACAACTTTACCTCATCGTTAACAGAAAACAAAATTTCTAATGACAAACAACATACCTCACATAAAAAATGTTTTAAAAACTCAAGATTTTGACACTCAACTTATTAACTAATCAAATTAAAACTAAAATATAGTTCCAAACTACTCTCGTCTGAACTATGATGAACTAAGAGACAGTAAACTGTGTGAACATTTTTATTCACCTCGGGGTTCCACATCCCCCCTTACAATTTGAACAAATCTCTCACAACTCAATGTATTAAAAATCTTGAGTTGTCTGGACCTACTGCTGAAGAGAAAAATCAAAACAATGTCCATTAAAAGACCCCTCCTTTATTAAATTTACAGACATGATAATAATATAAGCACCATCCACAATCAAATTTACAGACCTACATCTCTACTCTTAACATAAAGAAAGAACTTCAAAGTGAAAAAATACTCAGACAATTATTTCTACATATATGGAATAAACAAAACAAATACATTATTCTCTTACAAATACATACATGTATAAATCATGCAATGACTTAGCAAAAAACACTTAGAACTACAACAAAACAAAAACCATTAAATATAGTCTGGATAAGTCAAAATGCAGTAGCTAAGTAGCAAAGTCTCTGCTGTTGCAGCTTGGGTGCCTGCAGATTCTGTAAGTTCCTTTGTGCTAGCTGGAACACATGCATCTCCTTTACCAAAGGAAACTATTGAGTTGCAACTGCTTATACATGAGAGCTCTCAAGTAATTCAAGACCAATTTTCTGGCCAAAACCAAATCAACTATCATTCTCCAATCAACAGAGATTATTTAATAATGCAGCAGCATAACTTGTTTGAGTTATTATTAAAAGTGTATAATCTGTTAGTAAGGAATGTTCAGAAATTTAAATTTGAAGAGGGGAGGAGTAATGACAAAAGATTTTAAATGCTTATCGATAGTTTTATTCAAAATTTGTTACGTTCTGTTTTCAATATGAGTGCATTCTTATAGGGCAAGGACACATATTTATGGCCATGCATAGTTTTGTACCTCTCTTTCATAAGGCAAACATTTGTGGTAGGCCTTGCAACAGGCCGATCCCTCATCCAAAGAGTCCTACCAAATGTCTATAGATGAAGCCAACGAAAAGTTGGGACCTGCAGTGCTCAGGCACTTGAGAACGGGTCGTTCCCAGTATCCAGTACCACTGAATATAAGATGCTAAAGCCAAGGTGTTGCTACATCTGAGGTCACTATGACCAAGTTCAACTGTACATATTCTGATCATTTGAACTGTGATAAAACTAATCCAAAAATCTTAAAGATCAATCAAAGACATTCCTCAATGTTATGCAAATCAATGTTCAACCAGAAAAATAGCCACGAACTGTAACAGCTTGCTATATAATAAAATATGATGCACTACACTCTTCAGCATACAACAGATAAAGGATTGCTAAAATTGAGAGTTCATATTAAGACATGCATAATAAATAATGATAATGAAAATTAGTTTTTGATGGCGGACAATCACCTGCAGTTCCGCGCTCCAGCTGCAACTAGTCTCCACTAAGCTGTGAACAAGCTGGCACCAATCCTTGCATGTTGCCAAAAGGGAATTATTGGTATAAATTTCTCTTCCAATACACATCCTTCTAAAGCAGTGGTTCTCAACCTTTTTTGATTCATAGACTGGTAGTACAGCAGTGGGTTTTCAGGTCCAGTACCCACCTGCCTCACATTATACAATAGAAGTAACAGTCTACAAATCTAATTATTACTAGCACATCTACAACATGTTAATTTACAATATAAAAATTACTGTTATATCTTCAAAGCAAACAAAGGTTAACTTATGCATGAGGACAAATGAAATAATTTCTGAGACCTACAATGTCAGTTATATTTATTTGTTATTTATTTAATGTGCTGTCAGTAGTTCAGAATATAAAGCATTGAGTATTAGGATGATTACTAAATAGTACATAAGGATATCATCGCTTAGGTTGAGGCATTATCCACGCTAACCAGTCACAAGGACAAGATCTGACAGGATATCCTGCATGCAAATGAGTGCTAACCAACAAAAGTTTTTGAATACTGTGTTCATAGTATTTAAAAACCTTTGTCGCTTAATACACACAAAGGGCCGCTACCCTTTAAGAGTGCTAACTACTTGGATGTGATGTTCAGTTTCATCTCGTATTAAAGAAGTGCGTGTGAACATATGTAAGCCCTGTATCCCTACTGTTGCCAGTTTAGGGTCACAGCATGAAAAGGTTGGTGACCACTGCTTAAAATTAAATCTACTCATTACCACTGTGACACTGCTCCATGTACGGAGTACATAAGATGGGTTATATAAAGAGCATCCTTTTTCAATAATGCAAGAAATATTATTCTTTGTTCTTTAAGTACCAGTAAAAATTCTTTCAATCAAAGCAACAAAGAATTTTTTCATAATTTAAAATACCCAAAATTCTTGCCATCTTATGTACAGGCTTTCAACACACAATGTTATTCAAGAACACCAATTTAGCCAACTTAACATGAAAATATTTCAGATTTCGTTACACTAAAATATGTGAAATTATGTGAATTATGAAAAGAACTTTTATATAAAAACTGAATTCTGGTAAGCTATTATTTCAACTCCTGAAGTTAAACATGTCAGGATGTGAACAAGCACCATTTCTTTAAACATGGCATTGACCCACCGACCCCCACCTTTAGCAGTAGAATAACAATAGCACTAAACTTACATTCATTTATCATAAACACAAACAAATTACAATATATATGAACAGCATAAGATTAATCTTTATGAATGGTGGCAGTGACACACTTTGCACCGATGGCCTTATGAGGGTGAAATGTCTGATGCCTGTCTGTCCATCTCATCACACAGGATTCTGCACACAGTTGTGTGTCTGGATGGGGATTAATGGCTCAAGATTACCTATCCAGTCACTTCCTTCTACAAATATGCATGCAGGTCTCCCTGAAGTGCCCATTATTTTTGTCCTATCACAGCCAAAATTGGTGTAGTGGCAAATTTCAGTAGAACTCCTCCACATAAAATACTACAAAAATCCATTTATCAGTTCTGAAGTTGTTACATGTGGACAGATGGACAGACAGACATATGGTGAAGCTAATAGCAGTATATTTGTGACTTTTGTGAATGGACCTAAAAAAGAAATGTTTAAAAGGTGCTGCTAAAGGTGAATGAAGGAAAGTAATAAGTAAACAAATATTCTGATAAAACTTAAAATGTAATTCTGAAGAACAAAGCAGTGAGATAATTGGCAGTAAGAGTTTCAAGAATGAGTTACGTACATAAATCTAAGGTTATGTCAGAGAATATCAATAAGAAGTCTGTTTTTGTTTGGCTATCTATCTGTCCTTCCCTCTCATCTCTTTCACTCACTCCTTTTCAGTCTTATTCCCTTCTGCTTTTTGTTTGCTATGTACAGTCAATAAGAAACCATCCAAAAATACTGTATTTCAGACCCACTTGTTATGTGTTAACCAACAGTGAAATCTGAAACAGCAGGCAATTATAAAAATAATGAAATTGAAAAAGGTACACCTATAATTCCTTTTTTCTTTAATGTGCTGTCCACAACAGTACTGGTTATTAACTTGTACTTAGTATGTTATATTCAACTAAAATATCCCCAAAATATGGAAACATCTTCAATTCTATGGTAACAAGAACAACATAACATTGTAAGTTCCAAGGGAAACTTTATTGCCTGTACAAATACTATGAAATGTGCACGTATAAAGTCCATTGTATATGAAACTCTGCTTCGGGCCATCACTCATTTCTCCTACTGAATTTAAATGAAATTACTGATCAGACTAGCACAGAACACTGTAAACTCCAAGTGACACACAGTACTCACAGTACGAGGAAAAATAAAAACTTTAATACAGAATGAATAAATATAGTCAATACTTACCACACCCTGGAAGCAAAAGGGATAAGAAATGTAAAAGTGATTTGCTCTTAGATGCGGTAAATAACACTACATACGTATCTAAAATTACTTGTATCAGTATTCTGAAATCTGAGATACTACAAAATATGGTATTTTGAACAGCTGTTTATGGTAGAATGCAAATCTTAATCGTCACTTCTTCATGCATAATAAATACTGAATTAAACCACAGTATTAATGCATATAAGATACTCGCGGGATATTTTATAACATCACACGCTGACAACCCAACCATTATAATTTATAATTTCAAGATTATTTTCAAACCTTTTCATTCTTCAGTTATAAATATTTCTGAACAAAATATCTTTACAAATTGTTAATGAATCTACATCTATTTTCACAACACCGCTGATGTATGTAATATTATACTTCTATTATCAGGTGACTTCAAGAAGAAACATCTACATATTTAATGAAATTCATCAAATTTTCATAAAGATTCACATGCCCACTAACAAGTGTGTTACAATTTCCCATGATTTTCAGGCCTGCAAGCACAATTGCCTGAAGTAATAACTAACTTAGATAAAAAATTTCTGAGTGGGTATATTAATATTATGATGCTTGCAAAGCATCTCTGATAAACAATTCTTAACACTTATGCTGCACAATATTTGTTCACCACTTTGCTAAAAGAATGTAATTTTAAAGTAAAAATCTGGTATTATTGTAAGGGTTACATTATTATATACGTGCAAAAATTTATATAAAATATTTAATATTACATTTAGAAAACATGCTTTTATGGTCTTATGACTGCTTAGCACCAAGAAATATCATGAGAAGTGTAAAAAAAACATACTCAAAAAATGAAATTCCAAGAGCATAACCACATGTAAGATTTGAGGTTTTCACAGCAGTGAGTATGAAGATTTCTGTCTTCTGGGTTGTTGCGCTGTGTAGTCTGGTCGATGTTAACCAACGTTTAAGAGGTCATACTGCCTCCGTCATCAGGGCGATGAATATTCATTATGACCTCTGAAACGTTGGTTAACATCGACCAGACTACACCATGCAACAACCCAGAAGACAGAAATCTTCATAACCACATGACATTTACATACAACTTAAAATTCTTTGAACTAAATGGCAGCACTATACAGAGGAACAAAAATGGTTTTGTTTTGCTCAGAGCAAAAGGAAAATATTATTATTTGATGTGGAACAAAGTTCAGTTTCAAAGTACATGGTAATGCATGAAAATTCAAACAAATTTTGCAGCATATTGTTTAAGAAAAATAATGTTCTTGGTATAACTACAGTGAGAATATTCAGCACTGACTCACCATACTGAACTGTTCGAAGTGTTGCTGAAGGGCGTTTGCCTGTGCCTGGCTAATGAAATAGTTGTTTTGGTCCGAGAATGGACTCGTGCTAGGTCCTATACCTGGGGAACTGGCTGGGGAAACAGGACTCTGTGGGCAGCTGTGACTTGTTTCACCAGGACTTCCACTTCGGTAAACAAGAGAGCCCTGAAATAAAACATGAGACTAAATGTACTCATACATCACTGGGTTATACATTATAATATGGTATTTTCTTCAAACAATTTTATCACCAGTTTCAATAAGATCTGGTGAAAACTTATTTCAATTCAGTGATGCCAGCATTATATGAAAATCCTTATCAATAAAACAACCAAAATATTTAATATAGAGAAATTTAATCTAAGGAAGCACATACAAACAAGTGCTTTATACTTGTTAACAAAATATTTTCACGAACAAACTGCTATAATGACTTGCCACCTGTTGAAACTCGCAAGCTACTGAGTAGTATAACATAAGTATTCACTTTTAACCATATTTATAGTACACAAGAAACTGTACTTTATTTTTATAAAAAATAATATAAAGTCAACATACCTTCAGGCAGAACAGCTTGTTAACAGAACACCTTACAATGCACATACATAACATCAGTAATGCAATAGCATGTAACATTAAGCAAGCTACTACAGTCACAAAGTCACACAAACTACTGCCTTCAGAACATGTAATTTATTATGTAACCTACATTTTACTCTTCTTACTGGCAACCACATGTCATATTTTCATACTACAACTGCCTACGTTATGTAACGTTGAATAGCAGGATGATCTATGAGTAATGAAATGGAATGATTGTCAACAAATGCCATAGTCTATTTAGAGTACTATCGTTTCCTGTGAAGGACTGAGACAAACCATGAAAAATACCATTCAGGATACCTCTGCACCAAGACTTGAACCTGGGATGCAGGTTTTACAATGTTATCATCATCGTGTCAAGTTAGGTAGCAAATTGCATTTTAATTGTCGTGATGATTATATATGTTCTCAGAGAATAAAGATTTTAAGGCTTATTCATTATCTTATAGCCAAAGATGATTTTAAATGCCAAAATGGAAGGTGACAGAAAAAGAGTACGTCCAAGGAAAAGATGGATAAATGATGTAGAGCAAGATCTCAAGAAGTTAGGGATACGTAATTGGAGGTCAAGAGCCGGGGATCATCAGCAATGGAGGACTGTTGTGAGGGAAGCCAAGGTCCATCCAGGATTGTATAGCTGGAGATCATCATTCATTATCTTATGTTTCTTTAGCAGGATTTAAAGTTCTCATGATAGTGAGTATGAAGATGGCTATCTGGATGTCTGACTGTGAGGGTGATAATCACCTTCATGATGGAGGCAGCCAAATGCCTCTGAAATGTTGATAAACTTCTACCAGACTACACGATGCTACAACCCAGAAGACAGCCATCATTATAATGTTTCTTCTTTAGACAGTCCTGCTGTTTCATATAATGCTTTAGTTACATCAAAGCTAGAGTATGACTCAGTTTTATGAAATAACCTTACATTAACCGATTATTATCAATTAAAAAGCATTAGGAGAAAATCTCCAATCTGTGTCATTGTGTGTTCTTTCAGCAATAAGCTGAAATGGATGCCAGTAAGAAGTGGAGCTCTGCAAGTTACATTCTGCTTTTCTTATTACTGACCTGTACGATTAAGCCAGGGGAAGTCTGAGGACTGGGCCTACTGAGGGGCTGTGGACTTCGATATGTACTCAAGGAATTCAAGTGATGCTGAAACATCAAACATTTCTAATCATGGAGAGAGTGATGAGGGTATTAGGTCCATTGCAAATTAAAATTTTATTCTGACTGAAGGGCAAATAAACTTCCCAAACACATTCTTCATGGAACTATAGACCATATACACATATTAGCTAACTATTTTGTCATACATAAAAACCAATTTACACACTAAAAATGCTTCAAAAATCATATGTTGATATATGATCCGCAAAATTTCTTTTTCTCATTTCTCTGCCCATTTGTTGATGGCCACTGCAAAATGGCAATAAATTACTGAACGAATGCCCTGTCTGGTATTGCTGTCATCTGGCACAAATAATTCAAACTCCTCAAAAAAATATGTAGTGACTATATATGATGGGAATTTATAATTCAAAAGGTGTTTTTATATCCCCTTGATGTCCTAGCTGCATAAATTACTTATAATGTTATGATGAGAAAGGGTTAACACTTCTTTAAATAGATGAACAAAAAATGCATAATTTTAAATTAGGTTCATACTGATGTTAAAAATCTACAGCTGGCCAAGTTACAGGGTGGCAAACACAGAATAACATCTAGAAACACAAGTGTAGTATGAGATCTTACACAATTCCTCAGATAATTATTCTTCAGGAATGGCAATAAGTATATCAGTTTAAGTTGGCTGAATATTTTGTGCTACAAACATCTGATACAACCCAGAATCTATTTAAGAACACAATCATTGCTGAAAATGTGAAATATCATCATTTTAATATAAAGTTGTCAATGTAATAAATTAAAAACAAGATATAAAATTTTTATGTATATGATTAAAGAGGCAAACTTATATAATGGATATATGGTCTATATATTCTATGCCTTCTAAAGTAAATGCTTAAACAACAACATGCATTTCAGAAATAACAACATCAAAAACAAAGTGCCAGAGACTATGCCCCACTGTATTTTGCTCTGACAAGCTTTCCCCTACTTGAATATCACCCTCTACATAAGAGGATGAACATGGGAACCAACAGAGGAAATGCATGAAGATACAGGTAGATGGAGAGGGGTGGCCCACAAAAAGTAAAACGTCTTATAAAGAAAAAGAGAATAAAAGATCATCACTGCCTAGGGGCAATGAGAAAAACCACAAACTTCAGTCAAAGACAGTCTCCAGAAACAAACGTGAAACCTGACCACAATGCATTAGTTTTCATCAGTATACAGTGATGTTCAGTCTTTGAACATAAGAAAACCATTTTAAACATATTAGTTTAAAGATTTTATGAAATTATTCAAGCTAAACAGATTACAAATTTACCCCTCCACAAACCTTCACTTCCTTTATAATAAATTTACTTTAGCTGAGTGAGATTTAAGGTTTTCACTGCAGTGAGAATGACAATGTTGCCATTCTGGGTTCTGATGGTGTGTAGACCCATAGGTAGGTTGGTAGATACCAGCCCTGAAGATGGAGACAGCGCGTTTCTCTCGAGCAATGGTACTTACCTACCTACAAGTGTACACAACATCAAAACCCAGAAGACCAATATCATTATCTGCAATGAGATAATGCTCACTAAGTTATGCTGCCTTTAACACATAAAACTGTGACCTGTGTCAGCACAGAGATCGATGGGTTACAGTAGGATAATGGGGCTAATTTGTAAGAAGTTAAATTATTTTATGCATCTGTTTTGTACAAGCTAAGCTGTCTGGATCATATAACTGCATTTTATGTCCAGCATCTTTAACTTTTGTTGGCCATATGTCACAGCTTTCAGCGGCCCAGTTGCGTATCATAACAGGATGCCACTAAACTGTTAACCCTGCAGATGAAGCCTGGCCAGTGGCCTCATATTACAGGGGTTTAAATCCTGCATTCCTGTATTGTAGAAACTAAAGTGCATGCATTGCTAAGTTCTACATATTATTTGATAACATTAATTTCACAATAACAACTACAGCAAATATTAAACACATTTGTAGTAATAACTTTACGATATCCTCAAGCGAACTATCAGATACTAATTTATAAAATTGTAAACTACTACATGACTGAAAACATAAAATAATGCATACAATGTCTATTTTAAGCAATAGCATCAACATTTAAAATTCTAAAAACTGTTTAAACACCAAATCACAGTAAAACACTATTGCAGATCCTTTCAGGAAACTCTGATTAATGAATATGATAATTAAGGTATGACATACGAGGGGCAGTCAAAAAGTTCCCGGAATTGTGGTATAGCACTGAAATGGTAGGACATATGGCAACACTTACCTAATCAGCTTCAAAGTAGGACCCTTGTGCGCGCGCACACACTTGCTCCATCGATCCTGCCATTGTTGGAAGCACCGGCGGAAGGCTTCGTTTGGAATCTTCCGGAGTTCGGCCGTCACATTCGACACATCGCTGTTTGTGCAGCAATTCCTCACCAAGAAAAGCATTGCCGTCATCACCCAACCACCATACTCTCCGGATCTCACTCTGAGTGACTTCTGGCTGTTCCCTACTCTGAAAATGGGCTTCAAGGGGACGCGCTTCGCAACCATGGAGGACATCAAATCGAATGCGACGGCCGAACTCCGGAAGATTCCAAACGAAGCCTTCCGCCAGTGCTTCCAACAATGGCAGGATCGATGGAGCAAGTGTGTGTGTGCGCAAGGGTCCTACTTTGAAGGTGATTAGGTAAGCGTTGCCATATGTCCTACCATTACAGTGCTATACCACAATTCCGGGAACTTTTTGACTGCCCCTCATACAGTATCAGTATTAAATTTTAATGGGTTACATTTTTTTTGCATAACATCAAATGATGTGATCATGTACAATGACATGGAATCAAGGGGATTTGCATTACACAATATTGTCATTCTTGTTACGATGCTAATTTTAAATTATCAGTTACACCAAAGAAAATAGTAATACAAGTCATGGTAAATATCCAGAATTTCTGATAGGCGCAAACTCACAATTATGTGTGTACTGTGCAAGTTATGTGCAAAAATGTAACAATAGTTTACTGTAAACAAGTATACAACATAAGAATTATGAATCTCAACAGCTACAGACAGAACGACCTTTAATAATTCCTCCAGAACTTCATCAGGCATGAATGCTTCTACCGTGAAAACAGTAATGACTTGTCATGCACTGCAAAAATCATGCCTACTTACAGTTTGCATGTTCTGTGAGTTTGAGATCAGACTTTGGCTGCACTGCTGCTGCTGCTGCTGCTGTTGTTGTGTTTGTTGTTGGTGTTGAGTGGTTGTTGTTGTTGTTGGCGACTGTTGTTGCTGCGTCTGTTGAACACATTGCGGAGATGTCCGATGACTCTGCATCTGTTGCTGCTGCTGCTGTTGTAGTGACTGAGGTGGGGGTTGCGGCTGCTGTTGATGCTGATGTGTTGGTTGTTGATAAACGTATTGGTTCTGTGGAAAGTTGTCAATTCCACTGTTATCCAGGGTCACACCCTATACAAAACACAAACAAAAGAACTTGCATCAAGCAATTTATTTTGGTAATTAATTCTGTTACTTATTGTTCCTAGTTGATACTTATATTCCAAGTTTTAAATATTAGATTATTTTCTTTAGCAGTCTCCATGTTATGTTAAATTAAACATAATTCACCTTTTATTGTAGAAGACATAGCTTTTAATATTTTTATAAACATGTGATGTTACCCAAAGCAAAGTAACCATGCGTAGATGAAAAATAGAACATAAAATCTGGATGTGAAACAAAACAGTGTGAAGAGAATACAGTACACAAATTGGTAAAGTGTTCTCTTAGGAGTACAGACAAATTCCAAAGGTGTTCTTCATGCCATATAATGCAGGTCATTGTTGCACTTATGTCAGTAGTTACAAAAAATGTTATTTGGTCATTGTTGCACTATGATCTGAGTTCACTGTTACACAATGTGCTCCAACAATTACTTTGTTCCCCACTGTTGCATAGCAATGTCCTTAGAACATTGATACACACTGCTACACTGATGTTATTTGATGCTCATGCTAGAGCATGGAAAACACCCAAAAATGTTGCAGATGTAGGATCATTAATGAAGAAAAGGTCCACTCCTGGCTGCCAGTCATATTTAATGTAAAGGCTTCAACAATAATGTCTTCTTGGGTGATAAGCCATGTCAATACAGGACAAAACTCAAAACTTCTGTAGACTGTCTCTGTCCATCAGTAAGTGTTAAAGACTTTTTTGGTAAAAAGAAGTAACTTTGAAAGAGAAACATTGTTTTTTTTTTAAATTTTTAATGCTTTCCCGCATCTATCGTTTTCCCGCATCTATCGTTTTTATTTCCCACCCCCGCCGAAAACGATGCATCGAGGTTTCACTGTATATACATACAGAGCAAATTACATTCCCAGTATTTTCATATTCCTACCTTAGGTGTATGAGGAACATCTTATTAAATTAAGAAAATGTACACGTGACAAAATTAGACCAAATGTCACAGCAGAATAGATAGCATTTCTGCTTCATATTTGGGAGGTCTCAGGTTCAAATATCAGCTATCCTGACACTTTTGTGCTTTTCCTAAATCCCACCAGGCAAATGCTGGGATAGTACTGGTACCTTAAATCAGGCAATGACCACTCCCTTCCACATCCTTTCCAATTCATCATTCAATAATCACACTATTATTTGAAACTGCAGTCTGGGCAACTGACGGCACCATTCAACAATCCACAGGTAATAACAATGAACTTCACAAATCTTAAAATAACATACAATATAGCCAGATATTGAAAAGGCAATTTTCCATAACGACCCTCATATAGTTTCAACATGAACTTTTATAACTTTCCAGTCTTCTAACACAACTCACTTAATTTATTTCTACATACCTGAATGCTGTCAAACAGGATACTTTTTCCTATGAATGGCCAGTACCTATGCATATTACAGTGAAATGCTCTTATAACAGAACTAAGAAGACCTAAAATAATTTTTCAAACAAATAACTGCTAAAACAAAAATTAATGAAAATGTATACAATCTTGTACAATACTATGACACCTCAACACCATATCTTCCAATGTCTAGGAATGTTCACATCCTTGTGGAACACCATTAAATTGCTCCATCTGTCCTTTTGCCATCTGCATACATGTAACAACTACAGAATGGCCAAACAGATTTTCATAAAATCATATACTGGGGAATTTAATTAAAACTGTAATCACTTCAGCTTTAGTTAAAATCGGATAACCCCAGCTGGATAATTCAAGGTCATTCACAAAGATCAAAGGTCCTCAAATTCCTGAAAGGGGACTCCCAACAGGGAATTTCCTGTCCATTTACAAACGACAAATTCTGACACATGTTGTAACTGTCATGCTGTATATACATTTCCAGACTTGTTATACGTCTCAAAATGTCATCTTTCAAGAAATCTAACAACTAAAAAACATGGTGTTATCCCAATTACTTCACACTTGTTGCTTTAGCAAGACAGATTTCTCCGGATATATAAAATTTAAATATCGTGGCTCTTTTAACATTGTGATATTTGAATGTATCAATGTATCTTTATTTTATTCTGGCTACTTCTTTAAGTGAGACAGTATATAAAAAAACACATCTTTTTCCCAAGTCATCATGAAGCAACACTTTCTGTTGTAGAAATAGTAGCCATGATGAATGATTTAAGTGTCCCTAATAAATACTCCCCCCAAATGATTTGGACTGGCTAACATTTTATTACCCGACACAACTTAATTCTCAACCACTCATTAAAATGAATTTATACAAAACCTACAATATCAAGCTTGCCAGGAAATAAAATATATTTTACATAGATAAAAGCCTTCATGAACAGAATATTAATTTTATTGGCATTTCACTGTATATGCTATTGCAGAGATTGGAGAGTTAATGAAGTTAACTTTTAAAGACTCATTTAAATTCTGCCAGTTAATCTTCCCAATCAATCATTCAATTTTTACATAAATCATGCATTAACTAACCTTGCAAGTATGAAGGTACCTTGAGTTCATAAGAGATGGCACTGAAAGATGATTCTGAAACAAACATGAAGAACAGAACAAAATACATAAAACTAACTACAAAAATAAAATGCAGATTAGCATGCAAAAAATAAATTAATAAAACTAAAACCATTAATATCATGAGAATAAGAGAAAACCACTTTAAAAAAATTAATGTACCATACAAATCCTAGTAAGATTAGACCACAAGAAAATCAAGCTAATTACAGTAAACCCGCTAGAATTTTATCAGATGCAAATATTTCTTTCCAAATCCATTCTAGTTCAACATTCACATAATTCTTATGTGATGTCACATAACCACTTCAGTTTAATAACTGCTGTCAAATAAATAAATATAATAAATCAGTCACTTCCTAGCACAGAATTCTTTCCTGTGTCTTCCGTGCGTTGAAAGTTCTTGATATAACGTGTACAGGATAACTAATAGGTCTCAAACAGAAGGGATAAATCAGCCCAAGCATGAAGCCGATCTCTCACCTCAATTCAGTGTGTGGTATATTTATTACCCCTACTCCCCCTAGATTTGTTCAAGTTTAAATATAGGAACAACTTTACCTTTCAAGTATGTTAAAAGTTCAGTTCTAATATAAAGTTTTAGATTTCTAAATTCTGAAGGGTTTACTGAAATAATGAAACAAAGCTTGAATTAATAAAGCCATGTTTACTACACTCACAAAATCATTAAAATGATAACATCATTACCATATGCTTATCGCAATACTGTATTCTATTAGTTCAACAGCTTTTCCATGTTATGCAAGTCACATCAGAAAGTTAAGTGATCACATGTAACTGTATTAACATTAAAAGTGCTTCAATTACAATGCATCTACAACAGAACAAGACGTACCACAATTACCTGTTTTAACAAGATGCTGCCTTTCAACTGCATAGTACTTCATGTACCACATCTACAACAACTACAACTTATTTCTAGTACACCAATAGTTTAAAATTTGTCTCAACTTAAATCCTATGTATTCTACACTCTACTTAATATTAATATCATATTGAATATATTCTGTTATCTTAGGCAATATACTTTTACCCAGCAAACTTTAAGTGGCTGGGATCCATCATAACTAATTCAGAAACGCATCTGATTAAGAACTGGAAAAACGCAGTTCAATTCTCTGTAACGTTGTGAAGATTTTCCTCTTCAGATCATGGTCTTCTGGGATACAATGTTATCCAGTGCTGGAGGAGATGAGCTCATAGACATTTCCGAGAACCCTACACCAGTGGTCCCCAACCTTTTTGTGCCTACGAGCACATTTGAAAGTTTATGAGATCGTGGCGGGCACCAACCAATTAACAAAGCCAAATAATACGCAAAACAACACGACGTTTAATGATACAAGAAACCATGCAATCAAAAATATGTAGTTTTGCAAGTACAATTATTATTACTCAAGTGGGAAGTTAGTGTGATGTTTGGCACTGCATTTCATCGGCCAGTTTTTCAAATTTGGGAGTGTAGGATGATGTTGCTGCTCACAAACAATCGTCAAGTTGGGCGTCAGTAAGTCGAGATCTGCGCTTTGATTTTATAATGTTCATGGTTGAACGGCCTTCATTATTCAATATAACCTCTTTCTGTAACAACGCGGGCACCCAAAAAAAGGCTTGGCGGGCGCCACGTTGGGGACCACTGCCCTACAGCATCTACATTCTACCCTCAATATGGGGGTGAAATGTCCATCCAAAATGCTAGTAACCGAACATTCGTCAATGTGAAAATTTCATACCCAACAAAATATTTTCTCGTTATATACCACATACAGAACAGCTATGGGGTCCATTCAGCTATAAAAGCTGTATCAGGAAAGACTGGGCTATGAACTGAATGACCAGGGTTCTATTCTGCTTAGGGCATTGGGAGTTCTCCCTATAAAATATTCAAATCAGCTCAGCCCTTCTACACTTTACCACCTACTCACGCCCATGAATATGCATGCAGTATTCAACCCTCTGTCATCAACAATATCAACATGGCTGCCATACAAACTTGGTATGTGGAAACACTAACTTGTCATTCAATTACAGGGTCTTGACAAATATTTTGGAAGTAAGAAACTTTTATTAAATCAGCTAAAAAGACAGGAAATAAATAAAATGTCAACCATGTAAAATACTGTGGTGTGAAAATTGATAAATCATACTAACCTGATATATGAAATTCATATGATTACATGGTGTAAAACCATCTAAATATAGATAAAGTGGCATTAAACAATGATCCACATCAAGAGTGAGTGTTTTAACATGTATTATTTGTTATGAATCACATTCTATTGAGGTAAATCACTTTATACTGCCTTATTCCCCGTTGAATACAAAACATGTAAAGCTTGAAATCGTAGTGGCATTCCTTCAAACTTACTGCTGTTTGTGTGAGCTGTGTTGGGCTTTGTGGACCACCAATCACGAGGTTCTGTAGATGTTGCGGATACTGTCTCCGCCTTGTACTAGGTGAGTGGCCCGGACTGGACCCTTGAGACTCCTGAGGTGAGCCTCCAAACGTGAACCTGCCCATTTGTCGGGAAGACAGACTGGTGGGAGAAAGTGTGGATGGACTAACAGCCTGCGGACTCTGCACCAGGAAATCAACCAGCTGTATTAACAGGTTATCATTATATGAAATTATAGTTTAGATTGCTAAACACCACTAGTATGTGATATGTCCCTGTGATAAAACAATAACAAAATTAATTCCACAGAACCATAGAACAGCAATTCTCAAGCCATTTCCCACTAAAAAGGAACAATATTTGAGGTTTTAACAAGTTTCATTACAGTCTTGAATTTATTCTTTCCTGCATATGATAAATAAACTTAGTAGCTAACCAACTAACCAACCAACCAAAGATATAATTAACTAACGAACTCCACTGAGCAGAGTCCTTCTTGAGAAACTGACAGTCACCCACCTAGAAAAAGATTCTTTACTTTTTATGGATTCCATACCTTCATTACTGTGTACAAGAGTCCACCAGTGTACCCTAATATGGGATACTGGGGGATACTGGGAATGACCCGTTCTTCAAGTGCCTGAGCACTGCGGGTCCCAACTTTTCGTTGGCTTGATCTACAGACATTCGGTAGGACTCCTTGGACGAGGGATCAGCCCATCGCAAGGCCTCTACCTGTACACAGGACAGCACGACACAGAAAACCACGAACAAACATCCATGGCTTGAGTGGGATTCGAACCCACGGTTCCAGTGACCAAGCAGCACAAGGCCCACACCTCTGACCGTGCAGCCACTGCAGACCCCACTCTAATATGAGCCAAATGAAACCCATCCATATACATGCTATTTCTTTAAGAAAGATTATAGCTGAGTGGTTAGCACTCTGCTTTGTACTCAGAAAACCCTAGGTTCATATCTTGACCCAGAGACAGGCTATCCTGACTGAGGTTTTTCATACTGAGATGTACCTTAAATGAAGTCATGACAGCTTCCTTCCATATCCTTCTCAATTCATTATTCAATATTATTAATATTAATTCAATATAATTATTAATTTCTGTCGTTGCAATTTACATGCATCACTCCCAGCTGTTCATCTGTAAAAAGCGTCCTCATTCTCAAGCTGACATTCTTCATTATGCTTAGTGAACAACTGATCAAAGCAAGAAGTACTGCCAAATACAAATGATATTAAGAAACCGTAAATAAATATTTTTCATCATACAGTGTGAAACAATATTACAAAAACTGTATGTGGGCCACAGGTTGAGAACCACTGCACTAGGTAAACATACAATGCAGCATACTGTCTCTCTAGGCACACCACGTTATACACAAACACACATGCACATAATTGCATAAAGATTGTATTTTGTCCCAGTTACTTAAATTTTAACAAAACTGGACTGTGTTCTTTGCAAATTTTGAATTATTAATAAAAGATTATATCAAATATCTTACTTAGACTACTTTAGTTTCTAACCATACAAATCATGTCATCTTAATGCCATCGTTAAGTAAAGTAAATCAATATTGATGTGCCACATGAAGCATTAGCTCTATGGTAACATATGGGACTTGTATGCATGGGGTTATGGGATCAACTCCTGGTCAAATTGAAACATTCTGTTTTCTTTTACGCATCCACCATACTGTTATTTTACATTGTACAAAAAATCACTGCAACAAAATTTTGAATTTTCCAAAAAACCTATAACCATACATTGTATGACCCTTCTGCAAATGGAGCCAGTGTTGACCCCAACTTACAAATTTGTTTGGCTGCCATGATGGTATTACTGATCACAGGAATTTGAAAAGTATGATTTTAGGGTATTCCCCAATGGAGAAATGTCCATACCAAACTTAAACCAATCCATCCAGCAGTTCTCAAGTTAAATCATGCACAGGTTGGCAGGCAGAGACACATTCAGACATGACCAGACCTGCACGTGGTCATTTCATGCACACTGTGCAACCAAAAACAATATTCCACTTACTGTACTGTAAGAAGAACTGCTTGGATCCTCCTGATCCAAAGGTGTAGGCAAAGGTGGTGGAAAATGGAAACTGGTAAGGTCAGGTAGTGAGCCTGTATTGTTGCCGATGGGAATCTGAAGTGTACCGGGCTCCTGCTGCGATGGATAGATGCTGCAAGGAAGATAATACTGTACTGACATCTATCTGTTGGCCATCAACCAAATGAAAAAATTTGCAATGAAACATAATTTGTACAACAAAAAAGGTGAAATTGAACATACAGACTGGTGGAAAAGTCAGGACATACTGATCATCCCAGTCTACAAAGTTGCATCAACATGGAAGACACATACAACATTAAATTAAATTCAAACATATAAAGAAAAAACATATTCATATGCGTCTTCATTACGAACATGTCCTGACTTTTGTACCAACCTATATAAATTTAAAAAAATCCCTACACTGTGTGGCCCTAATTACTGCAGTAGCAATCAACAAAATGAATTGCACTGAAGACACAAACCACAGTCGAGAGAATAAACAGATGAAGTTACTAGAAACATACTTAATTCCTGGAACCCTTGGAACCTCACAGCATGACTTGGGTCTACCGTCGGAAGATAAATTCAACTGCTTTCTGCTAGGGTCAGTGTCACCTAACCCAATTCCTAACAACTGTCCATCAGTCACTGAAACAAATATAAAAAGCATTTGTAAGTACGAGGTTAGACTATGTCTCTGTGGAACTGTCACCACTGTCTTTCCCAGATGAGACACGAATGAATATGATGTAACAGTGCAATGACATTAACAGGGAAAAATAAGACTCAAGAAAAACCTGTCCCAATGCCACTTTGTCCATCATAAATCCCACACGGACTGCCCTGATAATGAGCTCAGACCTCCACAGTGAGAAGCCAGCAAATAACCACCTAAGATATGGCACAGACCGAAGTATGTGGTTACACATCGATGTTCACTTAGAAACATGCTTCTTGTACTGACATATAACAAAAGATTTCTAATTCTGATCTTGTTTTGGGGTAACGACACCACGTGGAAATTTTGCCAATGTTTCTGAGATTCTTATTTCCATCATATTCAAGTGACTTCTATGACTGTTTCTTTCATCTACCTTCTCAATTCATCAATTATTAACATCATATTAATGATATAATATTACTCGGACAGTTGATATGTGCTGAGATACAGTCTTCCACATTGGCAAGCTTTTTATGCAACTGCACGCAGACACAGGTGAAGTCTCTTTAAGAAGTTTATATATCTGCATGAAGCGACAAACAGGTTGTTTATTTTATTTATTTATGTTTTACTTAATGATGCTGTCAGTAGCTCAATCTTTACAGTGTAAAAACATAAGATGACTAATAAATAATGAATTACGAAGTACACAGAAGGATGTGGTAATGGCCTAAGTGATGGTGGTATTATGAAATTCACCTGAAAAGGATAAGAAACCTGTCCAGATAGCCAGTCTCCATGCCAAGATCTGAACCCACAATCTCCTAAATACAATGCAGAAGTGGTAACCACTCAGCCGCAAATTTTGGTTCGCAGGTCATAAAACAGCTCACCTCTCCTTTGTGAACCTGAGCTGTGTAAAGAAGTTTCACCTCCTATGTTCATGGCGCTCTGGTGTAGAGCTGAATCCGAGTTTGTGCGTCGCCAACTAGTGTCTGGAGGAGGCGAAAGATATGCGCCACTACTATACGGTGAGGTGTCTATCCGTTTCTCATTTGGTCTTGACCTCATTGGACCCACTCCCACACTCCGAACAACCCGTTCGCGATAAACCATAGGGCTGTCACTTCGTCCTGCTTTCATCTCTTCCAAGTTGCTCAAAGCACTCTGTAACAAAATGGAAAGCAAACTATGTGTATCATTTCAAGAAAATGCAAGACAGTATTTGCCTAAGGGAACTTAACATTTAAACAATGGATCATTTGTAATTCATCATCACAAATTAATAAGCACCAACATTATTCAATTTAAAACTAAATGTGCATTAGCGAAGGACAAAACCAATCAGAATGGTATAATACAATTTACTAAAACTTGTCCCGTATATGTACGCGCATGTAAGTTCTGTTACTACTGACACCCAATTCTAACTCCCTATTTCCAGTTCCAGCATTCATCTTACCAATACCTTCTTTTATACTGCTTGTTCCACATGACCTGTCCAACCTCTCCTAGCTTTGCCATGTTTTCACTTTCCTAACAAGGCCCATATCTATACTTTATCCTGCTTGTTTTACGCACATGTTCAAGATATCCACGTTGTATTAGCTTTCTGATTCAACTATAAACTTTATTTCCCTCCACTGTTACAACAATAAACTTTATAAACTGTCCTTCCGTATCCTTAAATATTCAGTATTCTATAATACTGCATTTAACTTATTCCTTACAAATTTTCCTTGTCGATCCTGTCTTACATCTTGATGACTTGATAAGTTTTTAGAAGTAACAACTAGCAAGCAACTTTTAGTGCATACAGGAAAAAAATACAGTATTTACAGAAAAATGACAGTGGCTGATCTTACTTAGGTCAATACATTATTTAAAAAGACTATACGAGGGGCAATAAAAAAGTTCCCGGAATTGTGGTATAGCACTGTAATGGTAGGACATATGGCAACGCTTACCTAATCAGCTTCAAACTAGGACCCTTGCGCACACACACACTTGCTCCATCGATCCTGCCATTGTTGGAAGCACCGGCGGAAGGCTTCGTTTGGAATCTTCCGGAGTTCGGCCGTCGTATCCTTCCGCCAGTGCTTCCAACAATGGCAGGATCGATGGAGCAAGTGTGTGTGTGCGCAAGGGTCCTACTTTGAAGGTGATTAGGTAAGCGTTGCCATATGTCCTACCATTACAGTGCTATACCACAATTCCGGGAACTTTTTGATTGCCCCTCGTATATGCCACGGAAAGTTTCACACTTATAAGACAAAAAAAGTATCACATAAGCACATTACATTAAATTACAAAAATAATGGCTTGCAAATACCACATAGGATTACACAAAGTACTCATACTGTTACATAACGCTTCCAAGTGTAATTACAAGACACTCGTTAATACCATTATAACAGCCTGGCAAATGTGCGGTCCAAGAGACAAGTTCTCTTGCCTGAGGGCTCTCGTCCAGCTCCATACAAAAATGCTGTGATAGCACCTTAAAGAACGGCCATTACTGATTTTCTGCATTTCATCGCTCACAATCACCATGCCATTTCAACATCCTACTGAACTTCCTTAACCACCAAAAACCATATACTTGCTGAAACTAAACAGAAAAGCTATAACACACAAGGCTTACGGACCAAGATATGAGATGTTTCACAGCTCACAGTCATAAAAAAGAGTATGCATAAGCATAATTATAACAAAACTTTGTCGTACAATACCTATACGGTCTGAGCTACTGACAGCATCATTACACACACCACAAACAAAATCCATCTTTCTTGAGAGGCTAATAGATACTCTGCTACTCAAAACTCCCTACTCTTTACAGAAACAGAAAGTTCATTACTGCGCTCACAAGATCCTGTCACTGAATCAGATAATCAACTTGACCCTACATCTTTAAGATCTATTTTAATATTATTCCCCCATCCATGTCAAGGTCTTCCAAAAGATCTCTTCCCTTCATATTTTCTGACAAAATGTATGCAGCCTATAAATTTATCGACTCATTTCAAATAAAGAAGCCATCATTCTCTTCCTGGAAACATTAGCCTCAATACCTACAGAATGGGGTCTCCCAACCTAGCTGGATATTGATGGTTCTCTCATGGAGGTTAAAGAGGCCGAAACTTGATGCTGATCACCCACCTCCATCTAATGTCAATGTCTAGAATGTGCAGAGCTTTGTCTCCATACTCCCTTGCAGTTCATACTAAGGAACAGAAAAATGTTATATTTACCTACACAAATAACTTTGTGTATAAACTTCGGCCTCTGTCTCTGCTAACCTTGTTCACCAACCCCCCAAGAGGTCCCACAATTTCTGTCTCTGCTTTCCTGTTTTTTTCCACACTCATTTTAACGACTTAGAGAAACATCGGGGAAATGAAATATCGTGAACAGTTAATCTTTTTCAGCTTTAATGCGAACACACCACAATGTTCATATACTTAAAATGCTAACGTCTGTTGAAATCTCACGTTCTTCAGACACATATTACATTTTCTCCATTTCCAATTACTTGTCCCTGTCATAATATTATCCACATGTCAAGAAGCCTGTACCCATTCAAAGTTTCATTCATATGTAATTCTAGCACAGCCTCACAAACCCATTCTCGGTACTATCTCAGGTATTCAATCTGTCTTTGTCATCTTCTCCTATTATATCACGTTGTTGGCATGGCCACCTACTGGCTACTACTACTACTACTATTGTCCACCACGTCACCTACCAGCAGAAGCCTTGTATTACCACAATCTCATGCAGTTCAACATTTCTATTGAATACAGAAACTAGAAAAGTGCATGAAAGCAGCTCTACAGCAGACCAAACCTATTTGATAAATGCATCCTTCATATGTAACCTGATCTCTGAAATGGTGAGGGCACAGACTTTTCCCATCATGTTAAAATCTTCAACTACAATACAACAAACATTCCAGTCGTCCAAATTCCCAACGATACTACACACTCCCAACGAATATTTTTCCTAACGCAACAACAGAAACTGTTAACACAAAGTCCACCTTATAATTCAATACGACGTTCTAAAATAATAAACAATTCAAACCACAGCCAACATCTGCTAGGAATACAGATGACACGTAAATAAACTCTGACGTCAAATAATGAATACAAATGAAGATATATAATGAGAAACAGACAATTCTATCTGACGAACAGTATAATTTTATAACATTAATTCCATTGCTTCCTTCATACGTTAGGTTAAAAAGTTAACAAGAAATTCCATGCAGAGGTACACGCCTTTTACAGAAAACATGTTTTGCGCTATAAGCTTAAGGAATCCGCTTAAACGGATAAGTTGTATGTTCCATCGTCTCTACAAGAACGTGTCAGGTTTACGAAGTTATGCATTTTCGTTTATAAAATGCCATAAATAAATTTATCTACAACAAATCTTCCGAAATAATCTCCACCACTATTTAAAATTGGCACATCAGTACAGTTATGCCTAAGTAGCAGGTAATGAAGTCGGGCAGGGAACTGATGATATATCACTACGCAATCTTAACTTCGACACTAGATGGAGGTGAGTGGTCATCTTCACGCTCCGGCCGCCTTATCCTCACGAAAAGAACCCCGGTACCCAACGGATATATAAGACCCAAAACCCGTCTGGGCGCTGGGACAAAGAAATAAATCCTGCCTTACGGGGAATCGAAGCCCCGTCCATCCAGCCTGTAGCACAGTCGCCACACTGACTGAAATACCACATGAAATATGAGAGAAATATTTTCCAAATGCGGCTTTCACTACTTTGCATATGCCATTGGCCTTGATGTTAATTTGTTGCAGATATGAGTGTATAGTCGTAAAACAAAGTTCACTGTCTGCTGCACACAAGCAGAAAGGATTTCCCTTGCATGTCCTTAATTATCAACGACGATATATCTGATCTGAGCGCCATGCAAAGTACGCTTCGCCACAGAACTGTCAATGTACATCACAATACTAAATTTCGACAAAATCCGTTCAGTATTTTCGAAGATGGATAAATCTCTCTCTAAACGCGTTAGCTAACTTCAAGGTTATGCAGTGCTTCCTGAGAAGCTAACAGTCGCTCAGTTACTAAAGAAATTCCCCGCCTTTTATGGAACACTACGGTTCGTCATTGTGTTCGCAACAGCCCGCCACTGGACCCTATCGTGATCGTGCTGAACACAGACCAAACATTCAAACCTCATTCCTTTAAAATAAATGCTAATATTATTCTTCCATCTGCACCTAGGTCTCCGAAGTGATCTCTTCCCGTCAGGTTTTCCAACCAAAATTCTGTATGCATATAGACCACATAGGACCACGCTAATATTTGGTGGAAAGTACACATTATGATGTTTCTCATGACAATTTTCTCCAGCCCTCTTAAACACGACTATTATTCTCAACACCCTATTAAAAACATCTCCGATGTTAACTGCTTCCCTTAAGACAAGTGGCCAAGTTTCAGTCCCATACAACACCACAGAAAAAGTACAGTGGAGTGTGGTATTCTGGAACGTACCGTCTCCACCTTCACTTACACCCTAAAGATGGAGGCGATACATTCCTCCGAAAAGTTGGTAATTACAAGATCAGGTGGTGAGGCACTAGTTATACATTCATATATTTCTAATTACGATGCATGACACGTCGAACTAGTTTCCGTACCAGTAACGTTATATGTATGTATTCATGAAGCATTCGATTTGACTCACGTTTATCATGAACGTTTCTTGTGGTAGTCCTAAGTCTCATAATACAAATGTCGAGATACAGGCAATGGACATCCAATTCAACATTTTGAAACGGCATCGTGAAAAACCTAGCGACACACAAATAAATGAATGTATTCATCACCATCTTCACAAGCATTCAAGGTCTTCAGACAACTTCCACATTCCAGTTATGACCCATTAGTTTTTTCTTTCTTTCTGTAACATGTTTGCCTTGAATGGCTCTAACTTGACTGTTTCGCACGATCCTTATCCCTTCATGTACGTTTCAAATATATACGTCGTACAAATTCCGAAATCGAGGCAAAAGTCAAAATTTCTGTCCCTATGGTAACGAGCGTGAGCTGGGCAATCAAGTAACTGGAAACGGATTGGCCTACCGGGATTCGTTTCCTGGCAGGGGTTTTACTCCGTC